GCAATGGATGCTCTGCAGTGAATGGGTGCCGTCAGAATGAGAGTCCAAACAGCTGATAAAAACATCGCAATAAAAGGTTTAAAAATAATAAAAGGTTTTAAACTTCAAAACAGTCTGTAATCAATAATTCTGTAACTCTCATTCTGACGGCACCCATTCACTGCAGAGGAAAGTTTCATTTTTGGGTGAAGGTCATGATGTGACTCTAGGTTATTTCACAGCCAGATCCAGCATTATTGACTTAATCAGATTGCATGCTTCATTTTACGTGTTTTATTTAACATTCCTCTTAAGATTCTGGTGCCTGTAGTTTTTCCTTTATAAAAATAAACCTACATCGTGTGCAAAATATCCTCAGTGGTCTTTATTGAGCGGATGGAGGGGATTCAGTTTGTCTCATGCTGCATGTGTTCATACTAACCCTCGTTTCAAGCTTTGCTTCGCTCCCGTTCCCTCACACCCCAGAGTCCTGTGCATATCAGTGTGTATTCAGTGTGTGATGATGTTCATTCGTTTGTGTGCTAAAGGAATAGTCCGGCTAGGAATGAACATGCGCTGACTCTCATGTTGATTCATGTGTTGTTATTATTTACTGTGCTGCAACACAAAAGCTCGAGCACATTTAGCGCATAACGAATTCAGTGTCAGCCTTTTAATCGCTCAAAAACGTCATATGACTTCAGAAGACTTTGCACAAGTCATATGTGCAACTTTTAAGATACTTTTTACTTTTTTGAGAAATGTTCAAATTCAAGAGATGTATTACTTTATTTGTAGCAAGGCCATTCACATTCTTAAATTCACTCCAAAACCCCTGTGATTATTAAATTATGACGACTGTGTATAAGTAGCAAAAGTCTCACGTTGTTACAATACTTCTGCAAAACTATTTTAGTTTTTTTCATCACAAACTATATGATTGCACAGCTCTTTATTGTAAAGTTGGATAAGTATGAAACAGGGTTGTTATGGTTAAACTAAAAGCATAAAAAAACTTAAAAAAGAAACTTTAGCTGAACTGAAATAAAATATTTAAAAATTGTATTTTATTTAGCTAGTTGTCAAGGCAACATTGCTCATTTTCATTTAGTTTAACTTGATGTACTAAAATAACTCAAAATAAAACAAAAATGTAAGAAAATTTAATTATAATAAAAACTAGAAAAAATAAATAAATATTGTTAAAAACTCTATTTAACTCTATTTTAACAAAAAATAAATAAAAGTGACAAAAACACAACAAAATGTGTGTTTTTGTAATTTTTAATAGTTTTTGTTTTTATTTAATTGTATTTCCTAATTCTTTTATTTCTTATTTCTAGTTTTAATTATTATTTTATTTTAATTACTTTTAGTTTTTGTTTTAGCTATTTTAGTACATTAAGTTAAACTATTATGTATTATTATATATAATAGTTGTTATAGTTAACTAAAACTAAATCCATAAAATATTTTGTTTCTTGAAATAAAATAATCTTTAGATGAAATAGAGTAAACATTTTTTTTTAAATTGATTACACTTTATTTTAAGGTGTCCTTGTTACAGTGTAA